TGGATGTGTGTGTGTGTGTGTGTGTGTGTGTGTGTGTGTGTGTATATATGTGTGTGTGTGTGTGTGTGTGTGTAACAAATCAGACAGTTTCACAATTAAGTCATTTTCTCTTCTCATTTTTCTTATTGTTACATTGTTTAAGTTGTTGAAAGTCCTGATAACTCTTATGAACAGCTCTTTGTGTCTCTGATGATAACGCTTCAGACAGTGACTCATGTCTCACAGTCAGGATAATACTAGTCTATCCTGCAATAATAAATCTCTTACAGATTGTTCATTGAAGAACGAGTCAGTAAATTCACCACGTTTATTTATAGCTACTCCTGAGAGTCTGCATTGCCATATTGCTGCATCTTATGGTCGCTCTATGCAAATCAATCAAGTTAAGAAGACCATCAGTAGTTACACATCAAATGAGGTTAAATCTGCCTTGTAGTTTAACGTAATTTCAGAAATTGACATGAATAATGTGCTTATCAAAGCTACACAGCTGATATTCCTTTTCTAACTCAAATGCCGTGCATTTGCTTACAGACGTCACTTGTATCCTCAGAAACTCAAAGCATCCTCCTGCTGCATGCGGTTTCATCATTGATCTGTAATGCATCGCAGGTGTGCATTTCTGATCTGTTTGTGTTGCACAACACAGATGCAACTATGATAATCACACCTGATGCAGCGGAATGTAAATGTAGTTGCACTGGTACATTTGCAACCCAGATTTAGTGTTTTGCTACAATAACTGATTACATGAAAACACAAAGAAAGAGAAATGTTTTGATTCATATTAATAGCTTTGGTTATTTTATGTCATATTTAAAATTTAAAAATTCACTTTTACATGGTGTTTGAACTGAAATGTGTGTTTGCAGTGTGTGTACACAACCACCCCATAACGATAAAAATCCAGCCAGTGCTTTTTTAAAATCCCCACAAATCATAAGCACTTTTTCAGATCAAGTCGTTCACAGATTCTGGGCAAAGTGACGTAGCTTTGCACAGGCCCCTCCCACGACTGTTGACGGACACTGGCGTTTTACCTTAGCTCCGCCCTGAGTGAGCTGTCATCAGTCCGCCATTGTTTCGACGCCGGAGCAGATGTAGACAAGAATGGCTCCTAAGCGATTGAGGTGTTTTGTTGTTGGATGTAATAATGAACATAGCAGTCGTCATTTACTCCCGACATCTGAGCCGCTGAAGACGCAGTGGATTACTTTTGTTTTTTAAGGGAATGAGCCCATGATGTACCTAAATGCGTTTTGTTTGCGTAATTTATTTGACATCAGACTGCTTTGTAAACGAGGGTCAGTACAAAGCAGGTTTTGCTAAAAAGTTGTTCGGTAGCTTCACCACCAAAAGAAGTGAGTATAAAGGCCAAGGATGATAACTATAAAGATAACGATAAAGATGTAATTCTAAAAATCGTTGTCAATATTAAAGAATAGCAGAGTCCGCACCACTGGAATCACTTTCAGAACGATTTTTTCCTGCTAATGAACGATAAAAACATTGACACATAATCCATACCGCTATTACAAGCTCGAAAATTTAAAGCAGCAGACGAGCTTGTGGTGAGAATAAACAGACGATATAGTTCGCTGGTGTGGATGCTAATATCGCTATCTTTATAGTTATCGTTCTTGGTGTGAACGGGGAATACGTTTTTTTTTTATGAATCTTTGCAAATCGCCTTTCCTAATAATGTGCTAGTTAGCAAGTCCCACGACGAATGCAGCTAAAGTGAACAGTCTCACACCGTGTCAACACCGGACGCGGTGCGGTGCGACAAAATACTGTAGAACTCATTATAAGTGATGCTGTCTACACTGGATGTGGCGTGGCACGACAAATCCCTAACAGTAAACTGCTGCCTCGTTCTACTTATGACGTACTGACACAAAGTTCAAATGATTTGCAACCTTCGCTTTGTTGCGTGCCGTCCACTACAGTACATTAAAGGGTTAGTTCACCCAAAAATGAAAATTCTGTCATTAATTACTCACCCTCGTGTTATTCCAAACCCGTAAGACCTTCGTTCATCTTCGGAACACAATTTAAGATATTTTTTATGAAATCTGAGGGCTCTCTGACCCTCCCATAGACAGCAAGGTAACTACCACGTTCAAGGTCCAGAAAAGTAACAAGATGATCGACAAAGTAGTCCGTGTGACATCAGTGGTTCAACTGTAAAGTTACGACGCTACGAGAATACTTTTTTTGCGCAAAGAAAACAAAAATAACGACTTTATTCCACATTTTCGTCTCTACTGCGTCACTTATGGACGCATGTTCACGACAGTATCATGACGCGAGCGTGTGGCGGCGCTGACCCAGATCCGGCGTAATGACGTCATCACGCCGGATCTCTGGTCTGCAGTTATATCTACTTGAGTGCCGGCGCCGCCACACGCTCGCATCATGGTACTGTCGTGAACGCGCGTCCAAAGTGATGCAGTAGAGACGAAAATGTGGAATAAAGTCGTTATTTTTGTGCAAAAAAGTATTCTTGTAGCTTCGTAACTTTACAGTTGAACCACTGATGTCACATGGACTACTCTGTCGATCATCTTGGTACTTTTCTGGACCTTGAACGTGGTAGTTACCTTGCTGTCTATGGGAGGGTCAGAGAGCCCTCAGATTTCATCAAAAATATCTTAAATTGTGTTCCGAAGATGAACAAAGGTCTTACGGGTTTGGAACAACACGAGGGTCAGTAATTAATTACAGAATTTTCATTTTTGGGTGAACTATCCCTTTAAGGTTGCCTCTGTGGAGGGTATATAAAGGTGTTTGTTAATGACTAATAAGTCATTTACAAATGTATTTTAAATAGTTTTTGAGCAGTTATAACTGCATGAATAAGAATGGTGACTTTAATGCAAGAATGGAAGAGAGGGGCGGGTGAGCAGAGCTCATTAGCATTTAAAGGGACATGCACCAAAACGGGTGAACAGAGCTGTTTTTGCGAGGGTGTTGTTTTACACTACCATTGAGAAATTTGAACCAAAGTATGTTATAGACTTTTTATGAAGACCCTTAAGAATCATACCAACTTGTGGAAAATGGGCATCCGATGTCACCTTTAAAAGTCTTAGTATTAATATCAAGTATTTTTAATCAGACACCAATATAAGTTCTGTCAGCTAATGGAATCACTTTGGGGTTCCAAATTTTGGTAGGATTTGGCACAATACTATAATGTGCCAATTATATTCAGAAAATGGGAATTATGGATCAATTGGATCATTAAAAGCAGGCGCTACACAAGTTGTAGAGGTGTAAAGTACTACTATACTTCAGTATTATTTTGTAGAATCTGTACTAACTTGAGGCCTGTTAAAACCTAATACTTGTACTTTTACTCAGTTACATTTACAAGTTGAAAATAATAGGCAAAAGAACGAAGAACAAGTGTTATATTTCATCATGATGTAAATCTTCTCATAACTATTTTAAAATAAAAATAGTACTTTTTTTCTTCTAATGTGACTAACGATCAATCATACTCACATGAGATCATTACTCGGTGAAGTAGTCCTTTCAGACACAGACTATATTCATGTGTTTTTGTAAAAGCTACGATTGATGAACTTGAGTCAAGTGTTAACACAGTTCATGATTAGTCTACAAATCATTATATTCAAATGTCAAAACACTGTAAAATCATCTGCTGAATATATTCAGGTAACAGGTTTCACTTTAACATCTGCTGTCTAAGTGTCTTAGACAGAACAATGAGAAAATAGTGATTTTTTCCACCAAATTTATTGCATTAAAAATACTAAAATTAGTACTTTTTACATTTAAACACTTAAGTACAATACTTAAGTTAATGTGAATACATTTTTACTTTTATTTTTAGCTAGGACTTTTAAGTAAAATGTTTGACACTGTATCTGTACTTTCACTTCAGCACAATTTCACAGTACTCCGCAGAATAGAGATCGCATGTGAGTTTGCTAAAAGAGCCTAAAAAAAGAGCCTTACAAAATGTATGATTAAGGCTTTTCAGTTAATGTGATCATTTAGGATATTAATGAAATTGATAATATTTTAAAGATAATATTTTAACAGTTTGCTTTAAGACCACGACATAATAAAAGCCAATTATTTATTAATTTTGGAATTTTGCTGCCTTATTATATTTTTCTCACACAGTATAAATAAGTTTTTTGGGCATTTTTTTTATAAATGAAAATATATAGTTGCCTGTATATTATAGGAAAGGGAATAATCATATTTTTGGGTCCTTGCTATTGAACAGTTTTAGAACCCCTGGCCTAAAAATAATCTGCCTGTTGGTTAAGATGATCCAACGGCTTATGTGATGTCAGAGGAAAAGGAAAGTCATTGCAGCAGCAGAGCAAGCTAGAACAAATTGCTTCAAGATAACATTTTGTTTTCATTATAAAAGCATGCACCAAAGATCCGTTCACAATACAACCAGAAACATGCTTTAGGAAAGTAAACATTGTCCGTTCGGGTTTCTGGTTTGCTTGAATGTGTTTGGTTGCCATGCAGTTTAAGCATCTGAGATCAGTTTGTTTGTCAGTCTTCAGCGTGTGTTTGTTTAGCTGTCATACTCACATTTACTGTGGATTCGCACTCCTGCTTCCTGCTGGGTGAAGTCGAGCCAGGACTCTGACAGAAGACACAAAACTGAGCGTCAGACATCATCGTGATGCTGCGATGTATGTGTGTGTGGTATGAGTTGTCATCTCCACCCTGAGATCATCAGGAGGGAGAGAGAAAAGAAAAGTGGGTTTCATAGGTGACATCTGCCGCACCTTCAGTAAATGCTCATTGAAGGTGTCACTGCAACACGTTTTTCTGAACACTCCCCCCTGTTTTCCATTGGTTGGCTTGACATAGTTCCACCCCCAAACTCACACGATTGGTTGAGCTGATGTTGCTGTGTCGGGATGCAATGTTTTGAGAGCAGCACAACAGCACAGGCGTTTTCAGGAGAATCAGCCTACGAGTGGCTTACTAATAGTTAGTCTTGTAAAGCCAGACCAGACAGCATAAGCACATTACAGCTGATGCTGGCCAAAAGCGCCCACTTAAACAGGAAGAAAACGCCTGACCAACCCACGGAGCACCCAACCTTAGCAACGACAGACTGACGTGGGGAAAAATATTCATATAACACTGTAATAATGTTATTTCATGAGACAAACATTTGGAATAAAAGATAAAAGATGTCTCTTCTGCTTACCATGGCTGTGTTTATTTGATCAAAAAAATACAGTAAAACAGTAATACTATGAAATATTTTTACATTTTAAAATGGCTGTTTTAATGTGAATATATGTTAAAATGTAATGTAGGCTATTCCTGTGATCAAAGCTGAATTTTCAGCATTATTACTCCAGACTTCACTGTCATATGATCCTTCAGAAATCATTCAAGAAACATTTCTGATTGTGCTGACTAATATGTTTGTGGAAACCATGATGCATTTTATTTTTCAGGATGCTCTGATGAATAGAAAAAAAAAAGCATTTATTTGAAATATAAATCTTTCGTAACATTATAAATGTTTTTACTGTCACTTTTGATCAATATAATGCACCCTTGCTGAACAAAAGCATTCATTTCTTTAAAAAAAAAAAAATCTTTGGTACTGTGTAACTAAAATAAAGTAAAATAGATATTTCGTTTGATTGCTACAAATTGCCTCAAAAACACACTGATTTTTCAGTGATAAATCAAGTTCAGTTTCTTCCTGAGAAGCACTCATTTTATCATTATCATTTATTATTATAAATGCAACTCGTTTCCTGGCAGATTGATAAAAAGCACCTTAGATTTTGGCAGATTGAGAAACTGCTTTATAATCCCTACAAAAGATCATATCAATCATATGTTGAATCATCAATAAATTGATATGCAATAAAACATTTTACTAGCTCAAAGAGTCTCAGCTTGAATAAATCTCCGCTAGTTTCTTGTTTTAATGTCAGTGATGCAGATGGAGAGACACACACAAATAACTTCTGGAATGAAATCAGATTTGTAGTCCAGAGGAATCTGCTAAATGAATAAATGAGAACTAGTCCATATGTAAGAGATCAGCCGTACCTGTTGATCTGTGCTGGTCTTCCGCATCAGTACATGCGATGGTTCCGTCTGATGCAACGGGCTGCCATTACCATGAAATCCATTCACTGGAGAGGAAGAAAACACTGAGATGAGTTTGATTTAGAGCCAGGAGAGATCAACATCTTTTCCTCTCGCAAGGTCGTGTAACAAAGACGCAGAGCAGTGTGTGATGAACAGTATGCACTGCTATTGTGTACAGAATCAATGCAAGGCTCCATTTGTGAATTGAATTCATACAATGTTTGTCACAAAACACGCTGCACCAAAGCGGCTTTCCAGACGACACTGACTTAAAAGAAGAATTCACTCATATGGTTCACTGATACACTAAAAAAGCCAATTCATGTTTTGGAATCACTAAAAAGAATCAGTTCATAAGAGTCATTCTTTAAGGAATCTGACTACACTGGTTGTCTATGTTTTTGAATCACTAGGAAGAATCGTCTCATAAGAGTCAACCGTTCAGGAATCAGACTGCATGGTTGTGTATGTTTTTGATTCGCTAAAAAGAATCTGCTCATAATAGTCATTCAGACTACACCGGTGGACTCGGTTTTTGTGTAAACTACCCCTCTAATAGCTCCAGTCAGCAGGCCAAGGACAACAGTAGTCAGAGAACAAGCACCTGAAGAAGAAAGTGATTCCTTTCTCATTGAGACATAATATCTCCAACCTTCCAGACGTGTTACAGCACCTCCTGTGCACCCTGTCTAATTATAAACAGCCTGACTATATTTGTAGAACCTGCTCTGATGCTGATGGTCTGTGTGCGATAACAAGCTGCTCCATTCTGCTTTATCAAGGGAGGGTCATTTCAAATGTCAGAGCAAAAAGCCCTCGCTCAAACTCATTATTCCTAAAGCACAATGCTAGTTATCAACAATTAGTTTAAATACGTCTGAGAGACAATTTAAACAATAGTTGACTCAAAAATAAAAATCTGAAAACGTCCATACTCTCAGGCCATCCAAGATGTAGGTGAGTTTGTGTCTTCATCAGATTTGGAGAAATGTAACATTGCATCACTTGCTCACCAATGGATCCTCTGCAGTGAATGGGTGCCGTCAGAATGAGAGTCCAAACAGCTGATAAAAAACATCACAATAATCCACAAGTAATCCACACCACTCCAGTCCATCATTTAACATCTTGTGAAGCCAAAAGCTTTGTGTTTGTAAGAAACAAATCCATTATTAAGATGCTTTTAACTAAAATACCAGTAATATAATTCATGATAACGCTTCCTCCAGTGAAAAAGTACATCTCCCGTTGTCTCTTACATCAAAATCCAGCCACATATTTGTTTGGAGCTGTTTTGGGCTGTAAACGGTGCTTGATCTGTGCAGATTTCTCTCCTGATTCAGACCAGTGGAGGAAGCGTTATTATGGATTACGGACTCATATCTCGATGGATTTGTTTCTTTTGGCTTCACAAGACATTAACCGATGGACTGGAGTGGTGTGGATTACTTGTGGATTATTGTGATGTTTTTATCAGCTGTTTGGACTCTCATTCTGACGGCACCCATTCACTGCAGAGCATCCACTGCTGAGCAAATGATGGAATACTACATTTCTCCAAATCTGATGAAGAAACAAACTCATCTACATCTCAGTTGGCCTGAGGGTGACTACATTTTCAGAAAATGTTTATTTGAACTATTGATTTAACCGTTAATTGTGTGACTTTATTAAAGTCATCCATCATAGGAAGTAAATACATTAAAATGCTCCTCATTTTCCAGTTGGTCACTTGTTTAGGAAGAGTGATGAGACAGGCTTTCTGCCGAGATGTGCTCATCCTGAACATGTCTACTGTTTCCTCCCTCAGTCCATGTCAATGACACTCATTTCTCTTCAGCTGGCTCATAATGTCATTTGTTCTATGGTGTGCCGTCCACATGCTGGATCTCTGGTGGACGCGATTATCCTGTCCATCTATCATTAAGATGTGCTTTTAGACATTGTAAAATGCTGATAGCCGGTGCAAATCAAATCAAGAGTACTAAACGGAGCTCAGCACGGAGGTGGGACAGTAGATTCTCCATTAGCTGATTTGTGGATGGATGGAGGAGGAAAAGATTTTGGACAAGCGTTGAACTACAGTGATCTACAGTGGGGTTCGAAAGTCTTGAAACGAACTTAAACCTGGATATAAAGAAGGTTTCAATGTCAAAAAGTTCAAAACGATGCTGTTGCATTAAAACAAAAAAAGAGACAAACTACAACTAAGAACTTTTGACTTTTCATTTTCCTTTTTAATTCAACTTCTCACTCAAACTCAAATGCTGTCAATATCATTTGAAAAAATGTACTTATTAAATCGAAAGCATTAAAACACAAAAATATTTCACTTTATATTAAAAAGTGTAAATATATACATTATTGTGTATACTTTTTTTTTATTATATAAGTATTTATTTTCATCTTTTAAAGGAGACATATTATGCCCCTTTTTACAATATGTAATATAAGTTTCTGGTGTCCCCAGAATGTGTCTGTGAAGTTTCAGCTCAAAATAGCTCCACAGATCATTTATTTTATCATTTTGAAAATGCCTATTTTGAGTTGAAGCAGAAACACGCTGTTTTTCGGGCCTGTCTCTTTAAATGCAAGTGAGCTGCTGCTCCCCGCCCCCTTTTCCAGAATAGAGCTGCGCCATTACAGTTCGGACCAGCTAAAAAACATCTGTTTTGGTTATGATTATCATGTTTATCATGCTGAAATCATGCGTTTTAAACCATATGAGTTTAAACTTCTGATATACGGTTTTCTGAGAGCACACACCTGAAGCACACGGACAGAAAGCGGCTGTCACAGCATGTGAGTACTAAACTAAGTTCTCATTCACACACAAGTTTACATTAAAAACACACATGAGTTACAAAAAACAGTCGGTTATGTCTGTGAAGGTAAACAGCTGGGAAATAAATCGCATGTTTATTTCAGATCTAAATACACTAAAAACACTTATTTCAGTGTTCTGTGCTGGTCTGTGCATACAAAGGCAGAACAGTTAGCGTGTAAAATGCACACAGCCTGCCATTTTTCACGAACCATTGTGACTTCCGTAAAAAGTTGACGTCAAACTTTGGCCATGGCATTAGAGCTGGTACACCGTTGTCACTTGCGAAAACACAATAACGGCGCCGTGGGTGGAAATTTACAGATTAAGGGGTGGTAATATTATAATGAGATCCCTTTGCAACATCACCAAGGGAGCGAAATCAGACACGCTCATTTTCTCAGACGCTTGCAGAAAAAGGCTTCCCAAAACAAAGTTACTGGGTTAATCTTTTTCATGTTTCCTTGGTTGGTAGATGCACCGGAGACCTGATTATAGCACTTAAAACCTGGAAAAGTCATATTTTCATGGTATGTCACCTTTAAGTCTTAAATATTCAAAAATATGCACGTTGAAACAACTTGAAATAAATAAAAATAAGCAAAACAGAAGTATTTTCAGACTTTTGGGTGCCACTTTATTTTTGATAAATGTTAAGTTTCCCAGTAGTAAAAGTTACAGATTGACATTTTTCTGCTTTTTTTTGTGATTTTTAGCCATATTGTATCACAAAATGATTGACATTTCTAGACTGAAATAGTGGCTTAAATGGGATCAATTTTGTACATTTTCTATGGCATTTACTTTATAAGGCATTTTCTGAATATGCTTTATTTTATTTATTTAGTTAGCTATGTCAAACTTAAATGTGAGAGGCTACAACAGGACTATACTGGGCTAGTCTAAAGGTTGCAGATTCAATTTTTGACCAGTTAGTGATCAATGATAGCTGCAAATATTCTAGACTGAAACTCTGTCCTCAAATCTTTCCTGTGGATTTCCACAGTGAAGCGGTTGACCTAGAAAGGCTGTTCCTAGATAGGCAAAGAGTGTTGAGAGCAGGTCTGTATACTGAGGTGAATTATTAAGGAGGCAGACGCTTTTGATACTGAACAAGCACTGGTTTGTACTCAATCGCTGGTTCTCTCTTTGTTTCCTAACATTTTCAGGCTGAACAGATTTGGAGAAATTGTAGCATTCCATCACTTGCTCAGCAATGGATGCTCTGCAGTGAATGGGTGCCGTCATAATGAGAGTCCAAACAGCTGATAAAAACATCACAATAATCCACAAGTAATCCACACCACTCCAGTCCATCAGTTAACATCTTGTGAAGCCAAAAGCAGCGTGTTTGTAAGAAACAAATCCAGCAAGATGTTTTTAGCTTCAAAATGTTGCTAAAATACGAGTACATAATCCATAATAATGCTTCCTCCAGTAAAACAGTCCATCTCCTGTTGTTCTCTCACATCAAAATCCACCCACATATTTGTTTAGAGCTGTTTTGGCTCATAAACGGTGTTTGATCTGTTCAGATTTCTCTCCTGATTCAGACCAGACGATCTTTTTCACTGGAGGAAGCGTTTTTATGGATTATGGACTCATATTTTAGCCATAAGCAACTGTTTGAAGTTAAAAATGTCTTGATGGATTTGTTTCTTACAAACACACAGCTTTTGGCTTCACAAGATTATTCCTTTAAATTCTAGTCTGACCAACTAACAGTGGTCAGTAATCAGTCTTACGTTTTGGATTCAAATCAGGCCAATTTACATTTTAGTAATACAATGTAATAGAAGTAATAAAACACAAAAAATCTCCAAATCTGATGAAGAAACAAACTCAACTACATCTTGGATGACTTGAGGGTGTGCACATTTTTAGCTAATTTAAATTTTAAGGTGAACTGTTCCTTTAAAGGTCCCATATTGTCAAAACTGAAATTTCCTGGCTTTTTTCACGATAACTGAGGTCTAGGGGCTATTTAACTACCATATAAGTTTCAAAACAGTCAGTCCACAGTAAAATGCACACAGCCTGC